GAAGAACCATTAGTTAACAAGCGTTAATAAGTGTGTCACTGAGCTACGTCCTGGGGTACAAAGACAAAAGCATAGGGCAGGGGTGGGGACCTTCGGCCTTCATAGCACTGGTTTACAGGTTGTTACTGATTAGTCGTTTTTGGTCTTGTCTCTCTCTTTGTGACCCCATTTGGGGTTTTCTTGGCAGAGATACAGGAGAGGTTTGCCATTGCCTTCTCCAGCTCATTTGACAGATGAGGAAACTGAGGAAGACAGGGTAAAGTGACTTGCCCAGGGTCACGCTGCTAGTAAATGTCTGGGGTCAGATTTGAAGATGAGCCTTCCTGACTCCAGGCCTGGTGCTCTGTGCACTATGGCGCCACCTAGTGGCCCTACAGATCATAGGCGCCTTCTAATAAATGTTCAGCGTCAAAGGAGGCCTTTCTTGGTCTCTGTCCTCCCTCCCTCCCTCACTGAGTCCAATTATAAATGCCTTCCTCTCCAACGTTACTTTGTATCCATGCTGTGTGTATCTTATATACAGAGCTTGTCTACAAGCGTAACATACTTCATTCGTTTATTCTTGTGTGTACTTGTTTACGGACCGGCGCTGATATATGTAGGGTTATTGACCACAGCAGCCAAACACTTATCCTTTGTCACCTGGAAACACCCAGAGCCCCTCCCCCATCGAACCTCCTTGCCTCTACCCCGACCCCCACTTTGGTGAAACAGGGAATTTTGGCCCCTTGTTAATTAGATCCAGAAAAGGTAGCAGTCCCCCTGAGTCCAGTTGGACTGATCTTGGTGTGGATGGCAAGAGAATGGCATGTGGGGGAAGTGCTGGACTTGGAGTCTGGAAGGTTTGGGTTCGAATCCAGCCTCAGACATTCTGTGGCTCTGGGCAAGCCATTTAACCTTTACATGACTCAGTTTATTCATCTGAAAAATAGGGATAACAGTAACATCTAGAACCAAATGACATAATGTACGTGAAGTTCCCCCGTTTCCCAGAGAGTGCTGTGAGCTGTACATTGTCATAGAGGAAATGGAAAAAAAATCATTTTTTTTTTTAAAGCAGTTGGGGTTAAGTGACTTGCCCAGGGTCACACAGCTAGTGTCAAGTGTTTGGTCTGAGGCTGGATTTCAACTCAGGTCCTCTTGACTTCAGAGCCGGTGCTGTATCCTCTGCGCCACCTAGCTGCCCCCCAAAAAAATCATTCTTATGATCACATATTTGGGCAGCACAGTAGATAGAGTGTTCGACTTGGAGTAAGAAAGCCCCGAGTTCAGATCCTACCTCCAATATTTATTAGCCGTGTGACCCTGGGCAAGTCACTGAACCTCTGTCTGCCTCAGTTTCTTCCTTCATCAGTAAAGTGGGGATATTTATAATCCTCCTAGGGTTGTTGTGAGGATGAAATGAAATGTGCTTTTAAACCTTAATCTATCACATGAATACTATTACTACTGCTTCTTTTTCTCCTCCTCCTCCTCTTCCTCCTTCTCCTTCTCCTTCAGTTAGGGCTAGAAAGACCTTCAAGGCCCATCTAGTCTGATGTTCTCATTTTACAGATGAGGAAACTGAGGGAAATGGAGGTTAAGTGACTTGCCCAGGATCACGCAGCTAGTAAGTGTCTGAGGCTGTATTCAGAGCTGGGTCCTCCCACAATACTAAATATTTTGCTCCTTTTGCTGCACCATTCTGGGTGGTGGTTTCTTCCATGAGGAGCAATATTCATGTATGTATGTATGATGTATGTATGTATGTATGTATGTGTTTATATATATACACACACACATATATTTTTTGCTCCTCTGGAAGGTTCTAGAAGAAGAGAGCCATCCATTCAGGAGTATTTTAGGGCTCACAGACTGTCCTCAGTCCATAACACTCCCTGCCTTGTCATTAAATTGAATTACATTATTTAATGAGCAAAGAAGCTGCGGGATCTGGTTAGCAGTTTTCAGGTTGAGATGGATGGACACTCTGGACACTAATTAGATCTTTTTCTTCCTTTTGTGTTTTTTTTTTGTTTGTTTTTTGGAAATTCATTTATTTCATGGAATGAATCAGAGGTGAGGTCATTTTGGGGGGGAGGGTAGCTCTTTGTCTTCCTTTTGATTTGCTGAAGCAGTGGTGCATTACCACGACAACTAGTCTCTAGGGTCCAAAGGCCATGGGGCACCCGTGGGGTCTGGTATAGATTTTTGGATCATGCTTCGGCCATGGAATCCCAAGGCCGAGCACTGGATCCAGGTGTGGTCCAGTTCATTGCTTATTGGTCAGAACACATATTATCTTGGAGCCATCCAGTCCACAAGTTTATCTTTGTACCTGAAATTATGTTAGGCTCTGGGAACACAAAAACCGAAATGAAACAGCCCCTGCCCTCAAGGAGCTTATATTCTACTTAGGAAGATGAAAGGGGATCCTCCCAGTGTGCCAGGGCCCTTCCGTACTTCCTCTTGGCATGACAGGGATGTTGATGGGTGGAACATGCAGACCGTCCACTTGTTATCCCCATGCTCTCCCGATGTGTGACAGCCTTGTACATTTCCCAACTTTAGACTTCAGGAAATACCAACACGAATAGAATCACACAATTTCTGAGTTGGAAGGAAGCTCAGGAACCATCTCCTCTAACATACGCCTGAAAACAAATTTCTTCTGTACCACGTGGAACAGGTCTGGCCCCCAGTGAGGGAAAGCCCACTTTTCTCCCGAGGAAACTCGTTCCACTTTTAATTTATTCTTTAATTTAATATTTTATTTTCCCCCAATTACATGTAAAAACAATTATAACATTCTTTTTTAAAAAATTTTTTGAGTTCCAAATTTTCTCCCTTTCTCACCTACCCCCTCATTGAGAAGGCAAACAATTTCATTCCACTTTTTAATAGCTATTATTGAGGAGTGTGTGGATAGATTTCTGGGGGCCCATGAACTTGAATAGGAAAAAAATAAATCTTTATTTTTACTAACCTGTAATTGATATTTAGCATTTCCTTCCATTGTGAATGCTTTAAAAAACACTATTCTGAGACATGGTCTGTAGGTTCCCCTAACCTGCCAAAGGGAGAGTGATCCATGATGCCATTGAGTTCTAATTGTTGGGGAAATTTTTCTGGTGTGAAGCCTAAATTTGCCTCTTTGCAGCCACTGCCTCTTACTGCTCTGAAGCGAACTACCTGCATCGTCTTAGACAAGTCACTTGAGCTCTGTGGGCCTCAGCTTCCTCATCTGTAAAATGAAGGGATTGGATTAGTGCCCTCTTAGGTACCTTTCAGCTCTAATTCTGTGAAACCATAAACTTCTTCCCACAAGTCATTTAACCTTTCTGAGCCTCAGTTTCCTCATCTGTAAAATGAGGAGGAGTTTGACTCAGTCTCTTTGATCCCTTCTAGCTATAAATCTGTGATCCTGCGGTATGTATGTGTATGTACATACATACAAAATATAGACTTGGAGACTAGACCTTTGCTTTCATTGGTTTAGGGAACTTCCAGGTGAAGAACGGCTCATCCACCTCCCCTTGGATTAGAGACAAGGAAACTGAAATCCCAAAGACTTGCCCAAGGAAGTATAGCTAGTAAGAGACAGTCAGGGTTCATACTCTGGAAGTA